TCTCTCTCTCTCTCTCTCTCTCTCTCTCTCTCTCTCTCTCTCTCTCTCTCTGCCTCCCTCCCCCCTCCCCCCTCTCCCTCTTTCTCACTATATATATGTCTCTATCTCTATCTTCCTCTCATTGTCTTCCCACGTCCCCACTCTACTGTTTTATTAACTTTGACATCGATGAAGACGGCAAAAGAAATGAAATTAATATGCCCCGACAAATAGATGTGATTTTTAGTGCCTTTAAAATATTTGTCTGGATTTCGTTGCCTAAACCTACTTTGGTTCTCTAGAAGGGGAATTTTAAATCTCTGCATAGAGTGAAAAGGATGTCAAACTCTTATCGCACCTGAGCTGTATTAAACATTTTTGAGGTATCAGGGTGAAATCAGGAGCTCGTCAAAATAATGAAATCGAAGAAACTGCCATTTTTCGACCGGCTTGGAAATAACTATCGAATTTTTGTTTTCTCTTTCAACATTTTGTAATATGTCTATTTAAAAACACATTTCTGTGTAGATTGTTTTAAAAATTGTAAAACAATTATTTAAGGCTCAAAACATTTCCAGTTTCCAAGGACTTTCAAGCTATGGAATTCACCAAACTTTAGAGGCCAAATTTTCTCTCTAATTTTACCTCGTAAACCAGGTGATCCCCTACCTCTTTCAATCGCAAATATCTCGACTTCGGTTCAAGATAGACGAGTACTCTTTTCATCAAAAGCAATTGCAAGACAAACAGACAAGGTTTAAGATGATAGCAATAACTCCATATGCACAAAATCGACGAGTGCCTGATTCCCCCGCGTTGTGACACATTTAAAAACCTTACTATAGCCTGCGCCCACTTTTGCTTTCTTCAAGAGGCTAACATTTACATAACACCCAACAACATGTATTTCCAAGAGAGACATAAAATATCACTTCTCAGAACCCAAATGACCCCTCCCCCCCCCCACTTCCCACAAACCACGGCCCAACAAAATTACTAATTATTTATCTCCCACAAGTGGGCTATACCACCCAAGCTAACAAGCGCTACTCTTGAGGTTCATAAACTTTTAATTCTTGATAGAGCGATTCGAAGTTCTTGCCTGACAGCGAAATGTTCTTTATGGTGTCTGTTTTTGCACGCATTTTTATCCTCGCTTGATACAATTCATAAACGAATAAAAAGACAAGACTTTTATTTCGCAGCATTCCTGTCTTTTGGCAACAGGAGATTTGCTCCTTTTCCCTTGAACTGCTGCTTTACTTTAAAGTATCAATGGAAAGTAATATACAATTTCGTATTTCATTAAGGTAACTGAAATAGTATAATTTCTTCAGACAGGAAATTAAGAATTATGTTTAAGCATATTATCCGCTTTTTCTCTTTCGCAGTATAAGCTCATTCACACAATTATATTTAAGTAAACGTGTTCAGCATAACACCTCTCATTCTCTCTCTCCCCCCCC